AATTATTATTTTATACATGAATGTTTCTGTTAAATTATTATTTTATACATGAATGTTTCTGTTCAATTATTATTTTATACATGAATGTTTCTGTTAAATTATTATTTTATACATGGATGTTTCTGTTCAGTCCCTGAGATGATTCTGTTGAGACTTGGAGCTTTACAATAAACTGGATTGATTTGACATCGGAGTACCACTTGTAACTATTTTAGTCCAGTTGAAGTCATCAACCAGTCTCGCCCCTTACAAGCGCTTTTAAAACGCTCTCTGTCTTTTTGGCACATCTCCAAACAACACTGAGATGGATTCAGTAGAAGATGACATGTTCTTAGTTGCTGCCTGTTTTTTAGTCATGTACCATGTGAAACCTGTTTGTCTGGGGTGGAGCTGCTCACACGTCTTGTCTTCTCAGATGCGTTCAGTGGATCGAGTGTTCAAATTCATCGACCTGCCATCGGAGGAGATGTTACTGGGAAGACCTGGAGGTAAAGGCGGGTCTGACCTCGTCATCAATAACCCCCATGTGCATGACTACTGGCCCAACCGTGGCCAGCTGGACGTTCAGGACCTGACCGTTAAATACACAGAAGCTGGGAGAGCTGTGCTCAACAACATCTCCTTCTCTGTGGAGGGGGGGCAGAGCGTAAGTCCTGACTGATGGCCACACTCATCCTTAAACAGACTGACCAGTTATATGAAACCTGACAGACTGATTCTTCTTAGCTGTTCTTTACGTTGGCTTCAGACCTCATTCAAAAATGTTATAAAGTGTAGCAAAGGAAGTGTCATGTGTCTACTGGTCATCATCTTGAATGGAGACATGCCAGTGGATTTTTGTGGATTTGTGCAGATTGCCATTAAGACGAGGGTCAGTTTGATACCGGTCTCAAATGTTTGATGCTACGTACTTGTTTAAGATGCTCACGACCATACGCTTTGCATGTTCGACTTGGTGACCAACAGGAATTTGCCTTCACGCCTAATGTTTGCCACAACTGTTGCATCGCTGCAGAAGTGAAATGGGTCCCCTTGTCAGAGTTCAGACAAACTGGGAGACATAATGAGAGAAGGAGGCACAGCCCATCAGCAGATAGACAGTTGTTTGTGCCATATCATTTGGAGCTGATAAACACTCAACCCATTTAGTGAATGCACGTCACCATGAGCTAGGGAAAGGTGGACACGTCGCTGAACACAGCTCAGCTGGCTCTGAGTCCAAGGACAGTGAGTGTATGAAAACAGTCAAAGGTCATTTTAAATCAAACTGTTCAAGGGATCACATCTTCATGCTACATGCGAACATGGAAAGAGTTTGGAACAACCAGGGCGTTTTCAAGGTCCGGTTGTTGGGCCACAATGAACAAGAGGAGCCTGAGAGTGGAGATCAGGAGCCTGATGGTCACCTGACGGACTCGTTGCAGCCATGGTTTGAGAGTTCTTGCAGATCATCCAGGCAGAGCTTTTTTCTCATGTGGTCCACTGAAATTGGCCCGTGGCTTGGAACAAGTTTTAATACTGGCCCCCTTCTTCAGCTGAGTTTGATAGTATTCTTCTTCACAGCGTAACTCCTCCCCCACTTGAATATGTTGCACCAAAAATATTTAGGTTTATCGTATTTTTCGTCCTAAAAGTCGTGTTCTTTTGCATAATTTGCATGTCCTGCGACATACGAGGAAGCGACGTATTTATTTTTTCCACTTTATTACAGGGGAGTGGTGGCGCAGAGGTTAGAGAGGTGGGCTTGTGATCCGAAGATCGCCGGTTCACGCCCCGGCCCCGACAACATCAAAAATTGTGGGTGGGGTAGGTGAAACAACCACACTTGCCCCCACCCTCATTCGCCCCACTCTGGGCCCATGAGCAAGGCCCTTAACCCCCACCATGTGCTCCCTAAAAAAACAGGTCTCTCTTGAAAATGAGTTCTCGTGGCTCAATGAGACTAACCTGGATAAATAAAGGCTAAATGAAAAAAATAAATAAATTAGACATATTTGGACTGATGCGACTTATAGGGCGGGGCAACGTTTACAGCGGAAAATACACGGTACTTTCATTCTCTCTTCATTTCCAGTCTAGAAAAACATTCCTCTGAAAAACTACAAACATTCACTATTAAAAGCCCAGAGACGGCAGACATCAGCTTGTTAGGAGTAAGTTTCCTGACCTTATCGTGTGTGTGTGTGTGTGTCCTTGTTTATGCTACTTTGTGAGGCCCATTTTTCCAACTTATACTGCATTGTGAGGACCAACTGCTCCTTAAGGGGCCCAAAGCCCGGGCCCCATAAGAAGAAGTCCCGTTGGTGGGTT